CTGTGGTTACTAGTAGCCACACTGCAGGGTGTGATATGAAATGACGATGAGTCTCCAACTGTGAATCAGTGCTAAGGAATTAACCGCCCTCATTCCTTGCTTTTGGGAACATGCCCGATCATGACGTACTCACTGGTTTTACTCCTGATTTAACCATCTAAATTATTTTAGTCCGAGTCGATTAAATACCAAACGATTACTGTAGACTAAATCTAAAGTGTAGAAGTGTGTCATGTTTTTACTGATGAGTTGCTCCACACGGTTTAGTCTTCTTGTCTTTGACATTGAGAAATGTGTTCACATGTCTCTCTTCTCTTCCTCCGAAGCGTTGACATTTTGTCATGCTTTTATGGAAACAACTTCTGATTTGCGGACTTCCAAATTCCTCTCACCTTTCTGCGTAACATAATTACTCTAGTTGGATCTTGTTTGTCTAGAATATGTTCGACTCGTTTTTCTTCACTGACAAAAATGTCAGTACATAGATCCAGCAGGTATCAATTTGACATGATACCGACGTTTGTATTTGTTTTTCTATAATATTCAGCACTAATACTCCAAGGCCAAGATTAACCTGTGTGCATGCGCCCTGTCACTGGGATCTCTAATCTTAAACTTTGTTGGGTTTTTCCCGTTGTGGTGGAGTAATGGTAAATAATTAACAAGCAACGTTACCCTTGAAAGGCACTTAAAGGTTAAGTTGTGCATGTCGTGAAATTACTCATAAAAAGGACAAAACTGTGTGACGACAACAACAAGTGAACAGACTTCAGTGGTTTCCCATTACATTAACAGAGCTGAGAGGGCCCCGCGTGTCTGCCTCTGTGGGTTGTGGTTAAAAAGGCTCTAAATCAGAATCGGAATACTTTATTAATCCCTGAGGAAATTGTGTGGTAAATGTGAGAAAGAATAAGTTGGGACGAATTCCTGACGTAGTTTATAGTTCATAAAGGCTTCGGCCTTTATTTCTGCTGCTCCCTGGGGCGGGTTCGTCTCTGATAGCATGTTGCTCTGCAGGTTTTCTCCTAACAGAAAGTCTCTCTGCGTGTATGTGCTGTGATGATCCCCTGCAACCGTCGCCAACACCTCCCAAAGAAAACAATGACTTTGTTTGGGTGTGGTTTTTTTTTTTTTTTGTTCCACTGATAAAGCAGGTGAAACACTCCTGTGCTGCACGCCCACTCACCTGACAAAGGACGGTTCCCAGTTCTCGGTACTGATTTGCACACATTCTCCTGGAAGTTGTGAGACCCAGAACCAAATGTCTGACTCTGCAGGTGGGACACGTCTGTGTTTCTGGCCTCTATTTGTTCTTTATTACATGAGGGCAGATGTCTCAACAGCAAATGTAGAGTCCAAAAACTGAGTTTTGTTTTGTTTCACCTCGGGCAGTATCGCCATCAGCAGGCTTTTGTTTGTTGTTAAACCAGACTGAACGTCACTTTGCTGTCATCTGCCCAAAAGATGTCTACGACTTGTTTGTGTGTGACATCGAGGACGATTTAGAGCATGGAAAATGACACAGAGCGGGTTTTTTTGTTTGTTTGTTTGTTTTTTTTGTTGTTGTTTTTTTTGCGCCCAAAGATTTGAGGAGCTCCGACTTGTTTTAATTCTGCATATGTTATGAGTCTGTCATTTTTGTTAGTCTCATAATGCTGTAGTGCATAATGCATAAAGCTGTAGTCTCTGTAGTCTCGTACAGCTTTCCTCTGCGCACTTGGTCAAGACTTCTTCTCCCGTCAAAGATTTTCAAACAAAATGATTTTAAAAGGGGAAAGCAACAGCCTAAATCTGACAAAACTGTAAACCTTCTCAAGCTTTCACTGCTTCTAATCACCAGTTTTACTTTTTAAGTGAAATAACTCACTTTGTGTGTCAATATGCAGGGGTTACAGCTAAAATGCTTTATGAGCAGGAATATGAGAATATTTTAAATGCTCAAACACTTTTCAGTATAGAAAATGTTTGTGCAGAAAAGGTTTCCCCATAAAGAACTTGAAGTGCGCGTCCTTCCTTCCATTATGACCTTTTAATGACTTTGTCCTTAGAAATGAGCGCGTCCCTCCGACTTCATCTGAAAGTCCATCTTTTGTCTTTTAAATCTAATTGTAGCCACAAGGAGAAAACAACCTCAGTGTTTTTCAGTGTACAAAATGTACTACAGGAAACAGACAACCTAGGAAGTCAATACTATGCTGCTGCTTAACATTCCTGTGATTGACTAGGATCATTTATGACCCCTGCTGTGTATCTGTGACCTTTTTAATCAAGGAAATCTACTTCTCCCGCAGCTGGGCATGTCTTCGAGGAACTGACCCAGAACACGTGTACAGGGAAAGAGCTGACTGTAACTTTCAATCACTAATTGTGACCTTTTTAAAGTTAACCAGGGTTTTACTTTTAGAGATATTTGAGCAATGTTTGTTCCAGTTGCCTAAATCCTAGACACAGTCCACACAGATCAGTACCAGGGAGATAACACTACCAGCTGTTATCTCAGGTGCAGTTTGAGGTGTTGCATCGGGGGGGGGGGGGAAATGTATGTATGTATGTATGTATGTATGTATGCATGCCTTTTTTCAGTCAGAAACATGTGGTTGGCGGCGCACGTTATCAAACTAACCAGACAGATATGGCTTAATTTGGTTCACAGCTGTGACAATCTCTGCTTACTTATGCACATGTGATCAGGACCTCACATAAAAAAACTCTGGAAACATGAGAAGTGTCAGATTTATTTATTTATTTATTTGGGAGGGCAGCTCAAAGTAAGCTGGATGTGACAAAGGATCTTATAGTAACTGGTAGATGTTTTGGTAAGCCTAGTCAAACCATTTATTGATTTTTATTTATTTGGACTCTGTCCCTCTATTCCTTCTGTAAGTG